GTGAAGTGAAGCCGCCTTTATCAGACACAAAGTGTTTGGGCAGCATGAAGATGCTAAGGCAGAGGGCTTCTCTTGAGTTGAAAACCAAATGTTACCCAGGTTATGACCACTGCTTGTGACTAAAGCAATTGGGAAATGTGGAACAGGTATGACTTGGAGATATACAAGACCATTCTAGGTGGCAAGCCCACGATGGCATTAAATACATTGAATCCCACAGTGAGAAAGTGAGTCCCTTTTCCCCATTGCCTTTCAGTCCTTCTGATACCACCAGGGACACGGTGTTGGGCTGGTATCTCTTCAATGTTTCCTGAACACATATTACTCAGAGCATTCTCCTGTTAATAATCTCGAGCTAGAATCGAACCACATTTGTGTTTTCATTGTATTTAGTTTTCTGGTTACCTCGTATTTATAGCAAGTCACGCTAATTTTCCATTTATCGTCATATTACTTTCTAAATAAATTTCAGTAAAAGAAGTGAGTCGGCTTGAAGATACTGAGCAAATAACAGCACAGGTGGAACAGGGCAAAAGTCCTGATGATGGCGAGTGACTGTTTTTATCTTAGAAAACACTGGGATGGTCCATCAGTTAGAGCCAGGGATGCAGAATGCAAATGACTAAAAACTGAAGTAAAAACCAGAGCCCCAAAACAACAGCCGCAGCACCTCCGTCAGAAATGTTTCTGAGTCGCACAGGCGTGTGATGAACAAACCCTGCTCCCCGGAAGCCCTAGACCCCAGGCAGCAGGGGGTTGGAGGGGGGCAGGGAGGTGGCAATTATAGATTGTCGCCATCGTGAAACTGAAAGCACGTAGGTCGAAAGGGCAGGCACCATAACCCAGCACTTTGAGGAGGAATCCACACAAACCCAGAGTGGCTGTCAAGCCCCATCCACCTTTCCACTCAGAGAAGGGAAGGTCCAGTCCTGCTCACAGGCTGCAATGGCAACGCTCTGAATGAGAGGGCTGGGCCAGTCTTGCTGTCCTTGGTTTTGAGGTGTTAGGATTATAATGACATACTCCAATTTAACCCTTTGCAGTCGTTTGTCTACTCTCAGCCACCACAGCTTTTTTACCGTTCCTGTCGTATGTCTGCTCTCAGCCACCACAGCAAGGAACCGTACGAATCTTAACTCGATTCATTCATGTATCAGTTCATAATTTCTCTGAAAGCTCTTAATTCCGACCAGTACGACACCCACGTCCAAATTTAATATGACCGCAAAGGGTTAAATTTTATTCTATATGCTTCATTTAATTTCCCTTAAATCAGTAAATATCAATTAAAGGAGAGATTTTTTTTTTTAAATTTTCTGTATATCGAAGACTGTAGAATATTCCACGGGCCTAGGGCGGCGGGGTAGGGACGCCAGCTCCCCCTCCCCTACCACCTAGTCGGAACCACTGTTACAATGAGTGCATCATGCCCGTCGGAAGGCGGCAGTCGAGAAAATGACTCAGAACCTCAGTGTCAGTGAGAGCCACACACAGCACAGCCCCCGCCCCCAGGCCGTGTGGCAGGCGTCCAGGTGGTGCAGAGAGAGGCGATCCGTTTACCTTTCAGGACCATAATACATGGGCCGAGCACAAGGCTTAGGAAAAACTGCCCTCAGCCTCAGCACCACTTGCCAGTCAGCTAGGCAGTGGTTACACAGCACCTAGATTCAGAAAAGCAGTTCCCACCCAGAACAGGTTTTTAATGACCAAGACCTGATTCGTTCCGGCAGGGACTGCCGTCTGTCTCTAACACAGACATCCTGTTTCTTTGCCTCCTTCCCTCCCCTCCTCTCTCTCTCCCTTCTCCCCTTCTTTGCTTTTCCCCTGACCTCCTATTCCCCGAATTCCTGCATGTTTCTTGGGCCAACAGCCCCTGAAGTCATTTGTGAATTACTGAACATAACTCATTTTCAACCTTCTTTCTCTAACCCCCGTGACAGCCCTGGGGGGAAGCTCCCAGGGTGAGGCCCACCGTCACGGGAGAGCAGTGCTGTAAGGGTGCAGCCCCCTGGAACCTCAGACCTGGCACCACCGCTTACAAATTGTGAGACACTGAGCAAATTGCATCATTTTTGTTATTCCTCAGTTTTCTCCTTTATCAGATGAGAATAATAAAACCATCTACTCATTTGGGTTTTGTGAGGGTTCAGTGGGTTGAGTTTATGCAAAGGGCTGAGAGCAGTAACAGGCACAGTGTAAAGTATAGCTTTATATATTTGACTTATCTCAGTTTCCTTTAACAAAAGACTTCTACTGCCTGCCAAAGTTCTGAAAAATCACTTTGCTACTGTTGCAGGTGGTTGTGCTCATTGTTTAAGTTAGCATTCCATTCAACCCGTACTTTTAAATCTCTTCCCTATCTCAGGATAATTTTATTCTTCAGAATAGCCCCCTCCCCCATTGTTTTCAAGGTCAGATTCTCCTTGCTCCTGTCTTTCTCCGGGTCTTAGCCTTTGTGACTCAGTGGATTCCCTCTAGCATCACAGACATCAGAAAGCACCTACCTAAACCCTCTGTTCTACCCAGAAGGAAGCTTGGGTCCTCCTAAATCAATTATCTCACCTAATTTCACAGTTAGTGAGAGGGGGCGGAAAAGCCTGCAAGTTTCCTGCCTCCTGCCCCATTGCTCTTTGATGTTACCCTTTCTCTTCATCATTTGGTGGAAATAACAGGAGGAATCCAACGTCCCTCCCACGGTCAGAGCCTCATTTCTCTTCAGTGACCTGAAATTCTGCCACCTTTAAAGAAGACTCTGAAGAAGTGACATCTCTGGCCTTGATTCCCACATGCATAAGGAGATTAGCATATTTTTATGTTCATTCACTTACGCTTTTTATTTTTTGGACAACAAAGTAGTTCCAGGGTTGAATGACAGGGTTTCTGCGTTCNTTTTAAAGAAGACTCTGAAGAAGTGACATCTCTGGCCTTCTTGATTCCCACATGCGTAAGGAGATTAGCATATTTTTATGTTCATTCACTTACGCTTTTTATGTTTTGGACAACAAAGTAGTTCCAGGGTTGAATGACAGGGTTTCTGCGTTCGCAGAGCTCGTGCCCTCCTTGGGTAGGTGTGCAAAGGAATAAGTTACAGAAAAGCACGCCACGGTAAGGGCTAGGATAGGGGCTCTGCAGAGAATGTTGGGGGAGGGGGCTCACCCAGTCTAGGGGTCCTGGGTCAAGAGAGCCTTCTGGAAAGAACTGACCCCTCCCTAATCTGGATGCTGAAGTAGGCGTTAGCCAGATGAAGACAGGGCAATAGTTGCTTTAAGCAGGAGGGATGGCGTGTGGGAGGGAAGGCAAAGACAGGTGAGGGCAAAGAGCTCTGAGGGCCTGATCAGCAGGAGTGAAGGCAGAGAGATTAGGAGCCACAGGCACGAGAGAAAGGTTGGACTAGGTCTTCAAGGATCTCGTAGGTTGTACAGAAGAGCTTCACCCCGGAGGCCATGGAGAGTCAATGCAGGGGTTGAATCAAGAGTAACGGACTCGTTTTATTCCGTGTTGGGAGCGTGGAGAATGATGCAGCATTTGGAGGTTACTGCACTAATTAACCAGGCGGAGATAAGGAACTGAGGTGTCCAGGGCACAGAAACATGCCTGCACCGGAACACTCACCACCCAGCAAACGTTCATCACTGTGTGATGTCCCTACGAGCTGGTTCTTGAGAGAATCCTGAAGTACAACTTCACCATTGCTTTCCCTGACCTACGTTAATAACCTGCACTTTCTCACCTGCACTGGGTTTAGCCAGCCCAGGTTGTTTTACCATGTTTCCTTTGTGTTCTCTTTTTAACCACTCTTTTCCCCCCTGGCTTTTGCCTGCAGTTATCTTTTCAATGGTCATTGATTGAAATGTCTGTTAAAGAACAAACATACATAAAACGTATTTAACATTTTTTTTCTAATTTGGTAACTTTTTAAAACACTTTATTTTTTTCCAGTTACAGTTGACATACAATACTATGTTATTTTCAGGTGGACAGCATCGTGATTAGACATTTATATAACTTATGAAGCGATCACCCCCGATGAGGCTAGTAACCATCTGACAATTTTTGGTAACATTTAATATGCAGATAAAATGTCACTTATGAAATGTCACCTCTTTATCCCTCTACCATGCCTGTCTCAAAGGAAATGTCTGGATCCACTATGTCAGTGGGCAGCTGACGTTTGAGAAAGTAACTCAGACACTTCCTACACACCTACCTCTGTGGAAACTATAGAGCCCCTGATTAAATTTTTGTCAACTATTTGGTGAATCTGCAGACCAAGCTAAGATAATTTCCCATCTAGAAAGACTAAAAGGAGAAATACATTTTTGCAATTTTTTATTGCCCAGCATAAGATCAAAGAGTCACTTCTTGAGTTGCTAGGGGTCTTATCCATCTCGGAGGTAAACTGAGATGCAGCCTGGGCAAGGAGTGGGGAAAATGCAGAACAGCTTTTCAGAAAGAACCGCGCTCACTTTCATATTGTACCGAAGTTCTGTTACCTTGTCCTGCGTTATTAATGACCATGGGGTCAGCAATCCCAATTATTCATTGCGCGCGCACACGCACGCACACACAGGCACGCACACGAGCACACACACGCGCACACACGCGCACACACGCGCACACACACACACGCGCGCACACACGCGCACACACACGCGCACACATGTCCACTCTCCAGCTCCGGTTGTGCACCTTGCCAGCTCCCTGCGCCCCCGGGCCGCCCTCTGGCCTCCCAGGTACTCACAGGGTCTGCGTGCCGGGCGGTAGGCTGGGGATGCGGTGGATGTCCTTGCAGGTGACTCTGAAGTCGTCCTCCTGGTGGCACTGGCAGGGCGGAGAGAGACACCCTCTGCCCCCCGGGCTCCCGGGCAGGCCGAGCAGCAGCGCCAGCTGCAGCAGGGGCACGGGCCTCGCCCTGCACGGGCCCAGGGCCATTTCCTCACCCCGCTACCGGCTCATCCCCCGCCGTCTGCGCGCCGCGCTCCCGGGGCTGGAGGAGCGAGGGGGTGGCGGAAAGAGGACTCCTTGGGGCTGTGACTTCAGCGCCACAGGGGAGGCTGGAGGGGAGAGAAGAGGCTCTCGAGTGTTCCGTTTCCCTGGGCAACTCTGCGCGCAAACAAGCCGGTCGGCTTTACTTTCCCAGCCCGAGCCCCGCAGCCCGCTCCGTCTGTTCCCTGACGATTAACACCCGTCCCGGCCGTCCCCGCCTTGCTTTCCAACCAACCCGCGCCTTCCGCCCTTAGCTCTCTCCAAAGCCCCCTCCTTTCCTTGTCTCGAAACTCAGTGGGCCCCCTTTCCCGGTGGTAGCCCCTAAAAGCGCTGCCTGCCAGCACCTCCCCACCCCCCGCACTCTGTATCCAGAGAAAGTGCCCGCGGAATGAACCGTCCCGGGCAGACGGGGGTCAAGCTCCTTCTGGCCTAAGGCGCCTCTGCGGATGCCAGCCTGAGGTGGGGCCAAAGACGGGGTGCAACACCCCTGGTCCTCACTGCTCCCCAACTTCAGCGCGAACCCGGACCGCTGTGAG